CGACGATCTCGACTGCGACTCCGCCTCTTCCGGTCTCGGCTGCGGCTCCGGCTATGGCTGCGCTTACGATGACGGTTCTCCTTGTCTCGTTCTGTGAAGCGGGGGGAAGTTAAGAGGATGAGCTGAGAGATGGGGTCTGGGCTGGAGAACTCACCTCCCCTTCACCTTGTCTGCGTGTCGCGTGGCAGGACCGCTGAGGGGTGGCCGAAGGGAACGCACAGCTGGACTCCTGAGGGAGCGAGGGACAGGAGGCAAGAGAGCTCAGGGCTTGGGAAGAGTTGCTAGGAGCAAGGGACAAGAATTCAGAATCTCCTGCATAGTTTGTCTGTCTCACACCACCCCGCTGCCATTTTCCCAAGGTTCAAGGCAAGATCCCATATCCGTAAGGGGGAGAAACTCAACCTCTGGGACCAGCCACTACCTGAGTGTGAATAATACAGAAGCTGCCTCTTCTGAGGAGGCTCAGCTTTCCTCGGCCAACCCCCTTCTCTGCCTGAGGCTGGAAAGGATCTGAAACCCAACCACCTCCACCTAAGGACTCCTGCTTCCTGGGGCAGAGAATCAGTCTCTGGTGGAGTTTTCACATAAGAGATCCCATACACCATCTCTTCCTCAGAAGGCTGGCCAAAAGACTGTCAGAAAGAGGAAGGCTCTCGGAAGCCCTCGAGTTCAAAACACATCTTTGTCAAATAGAAAAGGAGAGGGATTTATGGAAGATGATACAATCATGGAAGCTTCTATGCAGATGTCCAACCTGCCCAACTCTCAGACCAGGGCCTCCTTCCATCCTGAGCCCATTTCCCCATTTTAGAAAAGATCAGAAGCAAAAATAAAAGAGATCACACACAGGGACAGGACTAGAACCTGTTTCTAGGCTGACACCCTACTGCTGAACTCCACGCACCTCTCTCCCAATACCATGAAGGGATGCTGCCACGGGGTCCGTGGCACAGAGGGAAACTGGGATCAGAGCAGATGTGGCTAGAAACACACACACATCAAGAGTTCTCACCAGACTGAGTCCAGGAAGCAGCTCACAGTGCTAGGATACATTCATGGCTGCTATCCTAGCTAGTGGGGCAGATGCAGATCCCTTCAACATATGTACCCTCACTCATTCCCCACCCCACCTTCAGCCTCCTAACCACCTTGTAGCTGTTCAAAAGATGCTTCTGTATTTAAAGTGAGACCACAGAGACACAGACACCCACAGATGCTTGAGGCATTCAAAGACTCCACCAAGATCAGAGAGTGCAGGATGTCCTCTCAAGGTGAGTGCCCACTGCCACATCAAACTTCCTCTTCCCTTCAGGAATCCAGGACCCTAGATAGGCCCAGCCCTACCTCCCCTCTGCTCCTGGGAAAACAAGGATCCAAAACCAGTGGGCTCAGTCTTACACCCTTACAAAGGGCTAGACATCATCTTCTCACTCAGGGTCTTCTCCTAATTCTCATCCCTCCTCTGGAGGGAATTCACTGGTGGACACCCACTCCCACCCCAGTTAGACTACAAGTCCACCAGAAAGATGGAGAGCTTAGTTTTAGAGGAAGGAACCCTGGGCTCACAAGCTCAGCTAGGGCCAGGAGATCCCTGAAGTGATCTGGGCTAAGACAACTGTTGCAGACCATCTGAGGCCCCAGAGGGATAGGAGCTCACATCTTCTGAAATCAGGGGACCAGAATGGCTAAGTACCATTTCTGGTTCTGACACTGATTCCAGATCACCTAGGATGACAGGCTGAAAGACAGGAGCCCTGGGTTCAAGTCTTGGCCCCACTTAGTTGGGTGACCTTGGCAAAGTCCTTGCCTCCTTCTCTTCGAGGTAAGGTGACCTGACAAGTCTAGAAAGTTCCCAATCCTCCTAGCAAATGGCAAACTTGAGCAGGACGGCAGATATCATATCATCTAGTCCATCTCTCTCTAGAAAAGGAAGAGGGATAAGGCTCAGAGAGGAACCATCACTTGCCCAAGGTCACATAGTTAGTAAGCAATAGAACCAAGGCTCCAACCTAGACCTCTCCCCGTTGTAAACATTCCTTCTGAATAGGGCTACTGTGCTGAGATTCCGGCTCCAACCTGGATTTGCTGGATAACTTGGGACAAGTCTCTGCCATTCTCTGGATAGCAGATTTCCCCCTCTTTAAAATGTGACCAGAAGATTAAGCCTGGATTGCTAGCTCCAGAACCTAGAAGCAGGCGATATTGGGAGTCGGGAAACAGAACCACTAGGCTGTGGCCACAGGGGAGACGTGAGGCCCAGCTGAAGGAACCTGTGAACTGAGGCAGAAAAAGAAGGGGAGTTAGTGGTCCCAGTCCTTCCAGCTCCTGGTCCCAGAGAACTGGGTCAGTAGGGTTCCAAAACCACAGAGAGGGAGGTTTGGCATAGTTCCACACCCTGCTCAATTTCAGGACTTTCTTAGGGAGTCTGTTGGTGAGACTAGGATCAAAGTACTTGGGTTCATTTCCCTATTTGCCCCATGGCTGCCTGTTGGACTACTATAGACAAATGCCTCTGCTTCCTTAGACCTCAGTTTTCTCATCTCTGTGATTGAAAGAACCTTGGACTTGTCCCCCAGAGTTGGATATAACTCTGTTCTGTGTCCCTGGCTCCCTCGAAGACTCTGAGTGAGCCTTTTCTTCCCCTTTCTGGGGATATTTCCTCCTTGAAGTGGAAATGAGTTCCTGCAACTGACTTACAGAAAGAGTTCAAGGGGGGAAAGGGATCCACAAGTGGTCCCCTAAAGAAGAAAGGGCTAGTTTGGAAAGAGTACGTACACAGGAGAAAGGTAGAGGTGCTATCAGCAGAGGTGAAGGAGACACCAAGCTTTGTAGGGGGAGACCCTAACTTCAGCCAGCTTCAGGGAAAGGGTAAATGAAGGAAGAAGTTCAGATACAAAAGAGCGACCAAACATTTCAGGGCTATCTGGAGAAGAAGGGAAAGACTTCTTTCTAAAGAAAAGGGTAGACAGGTGGACCTGACTCTCCAAAAAAGCATGAGGAAAGAGATACCGGGCAAAAACACTAGATAAAGAAGGGGAAAAGAAAGCTCTCCAGGTTGCCTATCACGTAAAGAAAACTCTGAAAGACAGAAACCAACAAGTAAGATAGACCAGGCCCCGGGGATCAAGAAAAAGCATAACCTGAAGGGAGCAGAACCCAAATAAAGTTCCAAACGAAAAAGAGAGAAGAAACTGAAACACGGGACGGGACGCAGACAGCCTCCATTCACACTCGCTGTAGCCCACGTGCTGAGGAAATGTTCGTGGGGGGGGGAGAGGAGGAAGACCTTAATTCGCCCCCTGCCTAGTCCGAACCCCCTCCTTCCAAGAGAAAAGGAGTCCCCTCCGAAGCC